TAAAAGCCATTTTCAAGCCCTTTTGTTTTTAGAGAACTTCTCAATCAGTATTGTCTTTCAAATGCTGCTGGAATTTAATATTTTCATTTTTTGGCCTGAACATGGGACATAGTGCCTTTAAAGCCCCTCTTCATTTTGCAAAATTCTTTTTTTGAAAAATGAAATTCTCACTGTGCTACTTCAGGACTCTTTTTTTGCACATATAGAAATGTATGGAATCTTCAGAATGCCAATAGAGGCTTCTTTCAGTTTTACAAACACTAAATGTGCTGCTTGAGGATATTTTTTTTCTCTTTTCAAGTCTTACAAAGCTTGAATCTCAAGTAATTTAAATTACATACTAAAGTCAAAATTGAAATTTTGACATTGTCATGAAAGTACTTGTTAAATTGCTCAAGAATTTGTCTAAGATTTAAACCAAAACTAGATGGAACTTCGACTGCGCGCAGTCGAAAGTGATGCCTCCGTCATAGAGCAATTTTACAAACCAAAACGGAAAAAATATTTCAAATTCAAGTTCGGTTGTAATCCATTAACAGGTTCTCAGAATATCGTGATTACAAGCTATTTCTCATATACATGTATGACCCTTTGATCTTTGAACTCATGACCCCAAATGCAAAATACATGTCTTGAGTTTGATGGTAATCCATCCATCGGTTCTAATGCTAATGCAATCACAAGCTACTTTTGCATACAAAATGAGCCCCGTGACCTTTGACTTTGACCTCATGACCCCAAAATCTAATCAATTCATTGGCTCTGCAAGATACATACATGACCTTAGTTTGTCAGGAATCCATAAATCGGTTCTTGAGATAACGCGATCACAAGCTATTTTTACATACATAATGAGCCCTGTGACCTTTGACCTTTGACCTCGTGCTCCCAAAATCTGATCAATTCATTGGCTCTGCAAGTTACATACATGACCAAAGTTTGGTACGAATCCATCAGTCGGTTTTTGAGATAACGCGATCACAAGCTATTTTTGCATACATAATGAGCCCTGTGACCTGTGACCTTTGACCTCGTCACCCCAAAATCTAATCAGTTCATTGGCTCTGCAAGTTACATACATGACCAAAGTTTGGTACGAATCCATCAGTCGGTTTTTGAGATAACGCAAAAATGAGAAGGGGACGTATGTACGTACAGACGTACGTACTGACGGACGGACAACCCGAAAAAAATAATGCCTCCGGCTACTTCGTAACGGAGGCATAAAAATCTCTGAAAGTTTTGGGCATAATCAACACTTATGCCTAGGTCACATATAAACCGGGCCCTGTACGATTTTCCCTACCCGGCGGCTTGCCATAGATTTACGAAAACCTTCTGATTTGTTCATTTCTACGGCATGTGTGGTCACCAACGCTCAAAATACACGTGGGCGGAGGGCGATTCGCCCCCGTGAGCTCCATAATCGCCCCCCGTCAGGTTGCTCACGGGGGCGATTGCAAAATTAAAAAGCACCCCCATGAATTTATAAAATAAAAGATTATCTTTTCTGATATAACTTTAACACAATATTGAGTATGAATTTTCAAACCTTAAACCAATGAAATGGAACTTAGATGGCGCTATCTCTCCCATCTCTATGAGTATTACCGATACAAAAAAACGCAAGCTCGCACTATATTGTGCGGCCGTCAGTAGTGGCTATACTGCGCTGGTAGTACAGGTTTGCACGCTGACGCCCAATATCTGCTGGAGCTGGAGACGATCACGCAAAGACTGAAATATGCAGAAGTTTTTCATTGTGAAAAGTGTGAATCCTCTGAAATCTGGTAATTCTAAAAGACCAGCAAATTATGTAACTCGACCAGTAAATCAATATCAAGAAGAAGAACAAGACCAAAGATGTTGCAGGGGCGGATCTAGGCAGTTTATGGGGTTTAACCCTCCTACCCCCCCCCCCACCCCCTCCCCCCTCCCTCTTGGGCTGCCAAGTGAAAATGTGATGTGCATAGAAAAATGCCATAAAATAGCACCAAAAAAATGCTCCGCTTGTTAGTAGATGTCAGGAAAACATCACTGTCTTACGGGGGTTCAAAATAGCAAAAACAAAAATCACCTCGCCGCTATGCGGCTCGTGGACGATAAATGATAATGATAAAAAACAAGGAATTTAGGAGTTTCATGGGTACCAATTCAATGGAAATTTGTTTTAAAATTTAAAAAATTAATTTGAGCCCTGGTGGTCACATATTCTGCAGCACCCGGGAGGTGCCCGGTGAAAATTTGTCAAGTGAAATGCACTGAACTAAGTGTACTCTGACATCCACACCTCCTGTATTTAAAGCTGGGATGTACATTTTGAACCCGTAAGGTGCCCTACAGGCTTTTTACATGCTTTCTACGGCCTAACGGTCAGATAAAAACGCCGGGTGAATTGGGAGCAGCCAACTCAGCACCACGGCGCCATTACGGCTTAAAAAACTGTCCCGGCGCACGTAGGAACTTTACGGCAGCCAGTCAGACATCGGCCAAAAATTGCCAATATGTCTGTTTTTACTTGGTGTACGGGCCCCTGAGTGTATATGTGAAAGCCCCATTAGGAAGAGAGAAATTAATTTGATTTTCAAAAAGAATACAAAATCAAGTCAGACACAATCAAACTACAAACTAAAAATTATAATAAGTTCAAGAATAAATCATACTAATGTCAGTTCCAATAACCTTTTAATAATAATATTCATTATATTCATCGCCTAACACTTACTTTGTCAGAAGTCTCTAAGCACTCTACAATATTAATGCAGCATAACTACCGTGGCTTTAGCAGTGCAGCTGTTACGCGAGCTGCGTTTCAAGGAATAAAGTACACTGTAATAACTGTAATAACGGGCATGCACAATACCATAACCCATACGAGAAGTTTGCATAATTTTGGACTGATAGCTTGAAGCTTCAGTCCGAGTTGCAAAGCTATAGTGTAGACGTCGACATCGAAGCCCTAAACGGAGGCTTCCCGATGTCGGATGTGATCCAAATTCAATAGACTATATGATTATGATTAAAATGAGTAAAAAATTGGGCTAAAATTCCTTTGCTAAGAATGGATATTAAACTGCTAAAAAATGGATACGGAACTACACTAGCGCCAGAAAATCAGCAGCATGTTTATGTAAAATAAGAACCTCATTATAAATATAATAATAACATGGGCTTCAATAATGATAGGCACATTCATGGGGCACTAGAGGGCGCTTTGCGCGCGTACAAAAATCTGAATGGCCTTGCTGCGGTGGGTCGGCAATAATCAGCCCAAAACTTGGATATGGGAGGGTGGAAGGATATATCTTTTTTATAATGTTCTCTGGTCTTACCCTTAACCATCTTATGTTTAATCTATGTAGAAATAACATGCGAGTACGATAAGAGAAACATCGGGCCCATTACTGATGCAACTTTTAAAATATTAGCCTAGAAATGACCACCAAACGGAAAAAATTGACATTTTTTCCCGACAAATCTTCATAAAATCTGATTTATAAACAAGTCACATCTAGGTACACTAATACAAATACGATTTTCAGAAAATTCAGGTATTATTTTTTAAGTTTCTTTCAAGTATATTTCTGCGCATTGCAGCGCCAATGTTCTTCACTGCTTCAAAATCACCCTTGAAATTTTTTTTTTGCAACGAATTTGTTACGAGGTCCGCGAGTGTTCCCCGTTCCTTGCGTGTTGAAAGTTTGGTAATACATAGTTTACATTGACTCGCGCACGAAAAAATGGTCGAAAACAAAATGTCAAATGAAGAAATAAACAAGCTTTTGTATAGTTATAAGAGTTCTACCGAGGTTTCTTTGTCGATTTAATTTATTATCTACTCTCAATTAGAATTCAGAATTATCTCACTGAAAAGTTAAGAAACCGACGATGTTCTCGATCGTAGTTATTTTCATTTTGCCAGCAGCCGATCTAGCGTTGTTTGGGCAAAAAGCTAGGCCGCTGCCTTCCCATCGCAAACCTTTCCGAGTCCCGCTAAAATGGCGCGCTGCGGAGCTCCGAAGCTGCGTTGGTATCGCTGCAAACTCTCAGCCGGCTAGCTCCCCAAGACGGACCATTCGCGGTATGGCGAGAGTGTGTGTGTGAAGTATGATTTTGTATTCGAGAACGCACGTAATGCAACCGTGCGCGTCATTTTCAGCTGTCGAATGTATACGACCAATTTTACATGTACGATTTTTAGTACAGATACTTGGTCAGTTTTCTTCTTATATCTTTGGTTTTACAACATTTAAAAATAAAATTTCTTCAAATTTGCTCCTGACTCGGTTCAGACTAATTGTGTGATGTGTTTTCAAGTCAATTTTTTGAATATATTTTTTTGCATGAATTTGCCTAATAATGATGGAAAGATGCGGTGCCCATTGATACATTTCAGTATTGTAAAGCATAACAATAAACAAGAATAGTTTGGTAGAATAGTTTTGTAGTAGTTCAGGCTCCAACCACAGACGCCTTCAAAACCAGGCTTGATTGTTGCTGGAAGGAACAGTGTCATATCTCTCAATACTCGAACTGATTTCTTCAATTTCTTTGCTCCTGGGACATGGTACATTGTCCAGTCAAGATGCAACCTCTTGCCCCTCTGGCTCTGCCTCACTGACTTGTAATTGTACATAGATCTAGGGTCTAATGAGAATTATTATTAAAGAGTATGAGTACAAGAAGATAGACCAAGAAGATAGACCTAGAAGCTAGACTGCTGTCTCAGCATTCTTCCAGTATGTGCGGTAAAGGTAAAGGTAAAGGATAATGGTTGCCATGAAGTTATGAACAAAACAAAAAAACTTTCTACAACAAATTTATCAGCACGTGGGACTGAATTAAGTCAGCGATGGCTATTCAATCGATTTATAAATGCAACAACGGCTTAATCTAGAATTTTCTTTCGACAGTTCTGTACATGATCACTTTATCCATACGCAGAGAATGCTCTGATGAACATTAATATCAAATATATCATTTTAAACTCCAAATCTTACCTCTGATGACGAGTCCATTTTCATGTAATCTGTGCCAACGTGTAGTCTCGTGAATCACGATAAAGTTCGCTATTTGCGAGATATCGAGAAAATTAGAACGAAAAAGAAAAGAGGTATCTTTGTTTCGTTGAGGGCGTTAACAAAAGTTAAGTTGAGCTTTCCACAGGTCTCGGGTATGATTCTAATAAATGACCTATAGATCTATAATGATTTAGGAAGATCAGTTTGTTCTCTAAACCTTCAGACGAATATATGAGGAGTGTTGAATAGGGTACTGCATTTTTCAAACGAAAAAGGCGTACATTCTTTGAAAATGTTCGAGTTGAATTAATAATTGACACTATTATTCCTGTGTTTTATTTGTATAGTTTTGTGTATGAAATATTGCTTGATATTTTGCTAGTCCTTCATTGTTAGTATATTAAAATAAAATTTCAACAATCCATAATGTTCTGAGCATAGGAGCATGAGTTCACCCCCCCCCCCCCTCCATCCTTGTCTACGTCTATGGAGGCGCGATAGCTCAGTCGATCGGTAGAGCAGTGGTCTCGTAATCCGGTGACCCGGGTTCGAAACCAAGTCGATGCGCTAGTGCCCTTTGATAAGGCATTACTCCTCATTACCAGGTCCCTCGGAGAGGACCTAAAGCCGTCGGCCGTCTGGTTGCTTACTTACAAGCATTTATGCTTTCTTAGCAGTCAGGTGAAATAACCACCACCATTCAAAATTCAATAATTATTATCCCTCTGCCTGTCCGTCTCTTGCTCATTATATCTCCGATTATTCTTCCACCCCCTATCCGCTTCCCCCCCCCCCTCTCTCTCTCTCTCTCTCTCTCTCTCTCTCTCTCTCTCTCTCTCTCTCTCTCTTCCTCTCTCTATTTCCTTTACCCTGTATATTTATCTTCCTATTTTACGCGCGGAAGTGCGTCAGTTTAAAGTCAGTCGACCGCGGAAGTGAAATCCGTGGGAGTTGAGTTTTGGCAGCGCAATACAAGGACAAAACAGTTTTGCCCTCATTCATTCAGAAACATGCGTCTATAAAAGGGGTCCTCTCACAATGTTTGTCTGCCATACCGCCATGTGTATTATCATTCTCATATAGTTGGATTTGATAACAAACTAATAATCAGAATCACATTAAATTTAAAATTAGTCTACCGTCGATACATTGAAAGTATAAAATGAAAACAATAGTAGATTAATATTTCTTGTTTATCTATTAATTTCACAGTTTGAAATATATTTGGGTGGGTGTTAAATCACAATACACATGATCAGGTTGGTTGATGGTTGTGGTATTGGCTGTGAAGTTGATGATGATGATGATGATGATGATGATGATGATGATGATGATGATGATGATGATGACCACATAAATCTAACTGTTGTAATGATATACTGATGTCATGAGATGCTGCACACAAAAAAGAAAGTCAAACATGATTAGGTTACCAGTTGAGAGATTCCAAATAATAATAGATAGTCTGCATTTGAGTCACAGTTCTACATTTAGAATGTCAACAAAATTGTCGATCTATTTTAAGGTTAAAAGTAAACATTTCCCAGTTTTATGACAGAAAAACTTCCTCTTCTTTTTGTCTATCAGTGTATACAAGGAAAGCATACAAAACGCTTACTCGTTGTTTTGATAAAACGATATTAATCTTTGTTTGGATATAAGTCATAGACCGCGGTGAAGAGTTAATTGAAATGATGTCAACACACTTTCTTCTTATTCCTAACAACAATGTTTTAAGCTCTAACATAAAAAGCAACAATTTGTCAAATTAACAGGCCTTCATGTGGGCCTATTAATCTAAGATGTTATGAGCTATATAATTATAAACTCTCTTAAGTTTCTCGAAAATGTAGACCCAGTCATCATCATTCCGACTACAGTGTTGTTGTGGTTATTTGGACGATAGACAATTTTTCAGTATTCACTTTTTTATCTCAACAAAATTTGCTGTTGGCATGACACCTTTACCTGAGTGAGTCTTGCCTGAAGTAGCAAGCACTGATAGAAGAAAATGGGGGGTAAATATATACAGTTTTTATTCTAGCGAATTAGAGATGCTTTCGTGCAATACAAGTGTATGTTTGATACAATAGTATCTTAGGAAGAAAACCCTTTGTTTTACTGAGTATACTCCCTTTTTTTCTTAAAAGATAGGTGGAAAGATGATGTGGATAGTTTTTTTTTTTTTTTTAAGAATATACAGCATTAAACATTATTGTCAACCGATGTTGAGAATTTCATCATGCTTTAGTCTGAAATATTTCAACACACTTCGTTGCCTGTAAACTTCTTGTTTGTTTCTTAGATGAAAGTCATGGTAACACATATTGGACTCGTTTATCTTAACTATTCACAATGTGAGATAATTATGAATAACATAATACCGAAAAGCTCAAACAGATGAAAACCTCTAACATCTATGAGAAACATGAATGTGTTGGCCGATGCATGCATTTACGTCTTTACACGTCTTTAGTTGCCCACTTGGGACCAGACGGGAAGATGTTGACAAACCAAGAACTAAATTGCCTAAATTGATGCGTTGCTATGGTAACGTCAAACGTTGAGTCAGACGACCCTTTACCGATGTTTCACGGTGAATGCCGACTTTGACGTCTGAAACTTTGTGAGTCCTGTTTTGTTTCACTCGTTTGGCTGGGCTCGATAACGATGCACATTTTTTGCCGTGTAATGTTATTCGGCGGATTTTTTGACGGATGCTAACGATGTTTTGTAATAGCCTGCGTATGGAGGTGGAGAAATTCAATTCTATGCTGGTGATGCCTAGAGTCTGCCGAAAGAGTCAAGGCTGTGTGAGAGTTTTTCATGGCCAGGATATCTATAAAAGGAAATTCAAATTTAACGTCATCATTGTTTATACGGAAGCTATGTGTTCATATCATCGAAAGCATTATCAAACTTAAAACAAAAAAAAAGGTGGTTATTGTTTGCAATAGCAACCTTTTTCAGACGGGGCTATTGACGCCTTTTGACATTTCTAGTAGCCGTCAATAATTAACTCTTTGTCCCACTATTTTCGTGTTAAATGTTGTGGTCATTGTTGACATAATTGACAAAACTGGGTAAGCGGACACTTTTTTTTTTTTTTTTGGTCTCGAAATTTGAAAAATTGACATTTTTTTTCTTGGGGGGGGGGGGGGGTAAGGTCACTCTACGTTAGCCGTGGGCATAATTTTTTTTTTTTTTTTTTTTTTTTTTTTTTTTTTTTTAAATTAAAAAAAAAACAAAAAAACATAAAGGTTTTTTTTTTAGTTTTTTAGGGGGGTTTACACACATAAAAATACCAAAGGGGGGGTTTGAACCCCCAACCCCCCCCCCCCCCCCCTGCGTACGCCCCTGCTTTCGACACTCAAGTATTTCGTCGAATTTGTAAAAAGTGTGGGTAGTTGTTGGTAGTTGTGGAAGCGTGCAAGACGCAAAGTAAGACGTAGAACACCATGTCCCCCGCCCCCGAAAAAAAAGTTGGGGAAAACAATCAGTTGTCATGGCTACTTCAAAGACACTTAATAACCTCGAGTGGGGTGTTCATTGCGCTTAAATTATTTATGAGTCGATCAATTTCGATCAATGATTACTAAAATGGATAAAGTGGGATGAATACAGTTGCAAAGCGTGAATCCAGTATGGGAGGTATCGAGGCTCAGTCTAGGACAGGAGTGGTCTCGTAACCGGGAGGTCCCGGGTTCGAAACAAAGTCGATGCCCTAGGGCCCTTTGGTAAGGCATTGATCCGCATTACCAAGTTCCTCGGAGAGGACTAAAAGCCGTCGATCCCCTGGTGGCTTACTTACAAGCATGTACACTTCCTTTCTAAACAATCATATAAAACAAAACAAAACAAGATGAGGGAATTGTTTTTTCGGGGCACCGGTTTAAATATGTAGGCGGTGCAGGAAAAGGGGTCATTGAGTGAACATAGTGTATGGAAGAGGTCCTGTCACTTCTGTTCACATTATCGTTTAGTACTATTGTGCCCCCCCCCCCCTTCCGTAGAGTAACCACTGTAGTGACGTATCAGGAGTAGGAATAAGATGAGGAATGAGTAGGTCTTCAATGTGCGAATGTAGGGTTTTCCGAGTATATGAGAGAAAAATTGAAAACAAGATCAAGATTAAAAACCAGTAGCCACAGAGGGGAAATATAGAACAAAACCAAAGACAGAGCAACATCAGAGAAATGTGACTTTTATTGTTTGGAGGTTAAGCATATTTCGCATGAGTTTTACCGCAAAATTTCACAAATCTTGATTATCGTCAACTCCTCATTTCGTCATTGTACTTGTTTTATCCAGAAAAACCAATCATGCCAAATATTTTGAAGTTATTTTAGAGATCCACTTCCCCCGTGGTGTAGAATGTTGGGGGATAATCCCGGGTTCTGTTTGGTCTTCCTTCCTGCGCCTTTCCTGTCACTTCACAGCTCCCCTTGACTTGACTGCATATTCCTTTGACGTATCAGGCTGATTAATTTTTTCCCACGTGTGTTCTTTCTCTCTCTCTCTCTCTCTCTCTCTCTCTCTCTCTCTCTCTCTCTCTCTCTCTCTCTCTCTCAGTCTCTCTCTCTCTCTCCCTTCCTCCCTCCATCCCTCCCTCCCTCTCTCCCTCACACACACACACACACACACGCTCACAAACACATATTTATTATCTCCTTTTGTTTACCATCCTTCTCAATTTGTATCTTTTTCTGCTATCTTCAGCTTTCACTACCGTTCATATTTTTCTGTAATTCTCATCAATCCTGTATTTTATGTCCTCGCATTTTCTCAGCTGCATACGTTTCTGTCTTGTCATTTCTACCTTGGTGTCTGTCCTGTCTAACAACCTTTCACGGTGATCTCAGCCATTTATTTCGCTTTATCCTCGATAATATAATACTGCATTATGAACAAAATAATGTTACGTTGTTCAAAAGCATTTTCAATTCTTCTATATAATTTTATACAGTATATTACCCATAAGATCCAAATTCAAAGACAATATCATCAGAATGTGCGAAATGGGACCTTTATAAAGTAGTTTGATGC